CTCATAAAATCATAGATGATGATTTCTGACATGTGCCATCCTCAGAATGTCTTGGGGAAATGGAGTTCAAAACTGTTCGGAATTGCTTTGCTTGCATCAGGTCAAAGTTCTACTATTACAGGAACCTATGCAGGGCAGTACGTCATGCAGGTAGGCTGTTTTATAGCTTCTTCTTTTTTTAACATATTTTTGGAACAAAAAAAATACAATGCATTTGCATCTTCACGACAAAAAAATCACTGTTGATGTAACGTCCGGCCGCTTCAAGAATCAATGACTGTCCCCACAAATTAACACGAGACTTTTCGGCATCGGATTGCTTTGTCCTTACTCACACACTTCTTGGAAAAACTTCTCAGGAGGCCATCCCAGAATTCCACCAAGTTAAACACGCTTAACTATGGAGTTCTTCCGTTCTGGGCTGCCGAAAGTTAGATGCTTCTTGTTAGTATAGGTAGTACCAATTAATTCTTATAACCTATTCTCAACTATACCGTCTCATACCAGTACAATCTCTGGAATTACTCTTTTTCCGGTGTTGATTCGATTCATTTATATACCTCTCTCACTGATTGTACGTTAGCTCTTCCACTAACCATACATTCGATTGTACGTTAGCTCTTCCACTAACGATACAATCGTCAGCATCCAGGATGTTACAGTTGATCTTACCAAATGACAATAATATTCACTCTTAATAGTAGTTTTATATACATCTCCTTTTGTAATTTGAGTTCTCTATTAGAAAAAAGTAAGGAACATTAATCATAATTCCTCAAACTTAATTATCAATGCAGTGCTGAACCATTATGTTTGGTATTTTCTCGTTCAATAAATCTGTCATATCATATGCTTTAAGAGCTTTAACAACTTATTTTGCTGTGGTTCACTTGCATAATGACCATTTTAAAGCATTGGTAATTTCTTGCTGTTTCTAGTTTTTTCTTTTCCCTACGCATTCTTTATTCTTTCAGGGATTTCTTGATTTACGACTGGAGCCATGGATTCGAAATATGTTAACTCGTTGCTTAGCCATTGTTCCTAGTTTGATTGTTGCAGTCATTGGTGGCTCTGCTGGGGCTGGGAAGCTCATAATAATTGCATCAGTAAGATGTCTTTGCCATCAAATTATCTCTTATTATTATTTTTTCCTTAAGTATCTTCTAATGCTTTTCACTTAGGATTATGCTTGTATATTTTGTTTAAATTTTCATTGTGTGATATCATGAAAGTTTCTCATATAATTTGTAACTCTACTGCTGCACTGTTGGCTTCATCTGAGATAAGAAAGGTTTAAGTAGGGCCACTCATGTGGTTATACAAAGTCACATACGCACCATTTGTGCTGTAATGAAAATTTTTACCTACATGGCATCATTTCATAATTCCTGTTGTTTGTGTATGCATATAATTCAGTTTACACAGAATTGTCCTTTTGGAATTTATTTATTGGTCTCTGCTATAGCTTGTGCTGAAGCCCTTATTTGTCTGCTGATCAGATGATCTTATCATTTGAACTTCCTTTTGCTTTGGTTCCACTCCTCAAGTTTACAAGCAGCAAAACTAAGATGGGGGCACATGTCAACTCTACCATGGTAAATTTTTTGTCAACACAAAATTTGTAGTTCTACATTGCAAGCAAATAGTAAATTGATTGCATATTTGCAAAATTATTCATAAAGTTTGGAATCACTAATCAGTGCACTGGCTGACCCAGGTTGGGTCACATGTCACCGGCGGACCCAGGTTGGGTCACATGTCCGCAAGTGCGTACATGAGATTTTAGATTTTAATTTTTTTTTTTTTTGTAGTCATGTAGGTTATTATTTGTCTCTTAGTTCAATATTTATAGTAGGAGTAAATATCATTTTAAGTCCCTAACAAAAAATATGACCCCCATTTTAGTCACTTACCAAAAATTAGTCTCGAGGAGGTCCGTAAAAAATTCAAAGTGAATAATTTAATTAAAATCGTGATCCCTCACAAATTCAAAAAAGACTTACATTATTTACCAAAAAAAAAAGACTTACATTAGTCTCACAAAGACTAAAATAGGTCCACTTTAAATTTCATAAGGACCAAGTGACTCTTTTTTTTTTTTATAATGGACTAAAGTAGGGACCGAATTTTTTGTTAGGGACCAAAAATAATATTTATTCTTATATTAGTTAGCAACGTACAGAGATGATTAAAACAACGTAGCAACACAAATTGATTAAAGAGAAAACTTTTCTTGCTCCCTGTCACATACTCATTTCCATGATTTTCCATTCCTATGATTTCTTCATCCTTTGTTATGGAAGCAACTAGATTATGAGTGGGTTCAAGCGTTAATTTAAAATTTTTTTACAAAAAAAAATTCGGGGGCACCGCAAACGGGAGAATCAGTGTGAGATATGTTGTTAATATCTGTAAACATTGCAGTGCATACACTGTTTACTTAAATTTGACTGAGAGTCTCAATTTTCCCTCCACTTCCATTGACCATAATTCTTATAGTTACTGAATCAGAGAACTTGCTGTTGCTTCTTCATACACCAAAGTTATTATGTTTCAGGAAAACAAATGGTTTTTCTGCATCTTGTCTGACATAATAATTACCTGACATTCTTAATTGCAGATTTCCGCAGTTACTTGGATAATTGGTTCCCTCATTATGGCCATTAATGTATACTATTTAATGACTGGCTTCATCAAGCTGCTTCTTCATAGTCACATAAAAATTGTGGCCAAGATATTTGTTGGGATATTAGGATTTTCAGGTATGGCAGTATATTTGGCTGGTATAGCATATCTAGTACTTCGCAAAAATGAAGAGGCCACACACCTTATGGCTCTAACAGCACCAGAGAGTCATCAAATGGCAAATGAACAAGGCAATGGGTCAATCTACTCTCTTTCAAGAGAAGACATAGTAAACATGCAATTGCCTCAAAGAAGTAGTACTGCAGATCTTGACTGACAATTATGTTCATATAGTAAATTAGCAAAGATAGACTCCGATATATAAACGGGGAAGGATCCGTTTACAAACTTTTTTGATAAATTTTTACAAATTACGCTATCTTCTCCCGGGAAAACATAGTGAAATTAGTGTTTTCCCGGAAGAAGATAGTACCCTTATATAAATAACTCATTCCGTTAATTTCTAGCATTGTATGTCCGTTTTTGAAGTGTTTGCCACACAAGGAAGTTTTCTTCACATGAGAAAGTGAAACAAATTATGAACGGAATGGCTAATAGCATGGTAAGCCTTGTAGCACATGCCCCCGGATGATCACCAGTGTTACTGGAGTAACACCGGGGTTCACTCCCCCTTCTCAATACCTTGCATGATAATATGTTTATTTTTAAGAGTCAACACCCTTTTGGTCCCTAGCAATATCTACGAAATCCTTTTTAGTCCCTGGCAATAAAAAAAGACCAATTTGGTCCCTAATAGTATGCAAAAAGGGCCACATTAGCGACAGAGGAATTGACATAAGGACTAATGTGGCCCTTTTTTCATAATTTTAGAGACCAATTTGGTCCTTTTTTATTGCCAGAGACTAAAAAGGATTTTGTAGATATTGACAGGGACCAAAAAGGGTGTTTACTCTATTTTTAATTTAGGAAACATAAATGGTTAAAATTGCGTTTGATAAATTGATTTATTTTTTTGTCTCAGATTTCAGCGAATGAATCAGTGGTTTAAGAACAATTTTTTTTTTTAAAAAAAAAAAACACTAATTTTATCTTCTTGGCACAAAAATAGAAAAAAAAAAGTATTTCTATAAACAGGGCAAGTGAACAAAATAATAGTTATTCACACCCCATCTAAACACCAATAGGGGTTTTTTTTTTACCTTAGGGGCCGTTTGGTACACCGATTTTTCTCGGATTCCCGGGAAACTGAAATTTTTAAAATTTTAAATTTTCAAATATTATCGTAAACTGAATGTAAAAATCATATTTTTGAAAATCGAGATTTCTGGACAAATAAAAATTTCTCCTGTACCAAACGCCCTCCGAAGAAAAGAGAATGAACAGGAAAAGGGCATCTTCCTAGTTATATTTACATGAACTAAATGACAGTTTATACCAGACTGACTCTAAGACAGTGATACTATGTTAATAGGCAGCAGTTCTCAAAATTGAACTTTTCTTCCTAGTTATATTTTAATTCATAATAGCCAAAACATGCTGAAGCCTTTGAGTCAGCCAATTTCAAAGTTGAACTCCATGATCTCACATGATGGCCGTCAACAAAACCCCCAAAGTCAAATTCATGAATCTCTTCTATATTGGTCAATCAATTTGAGTAACGCCCATTCATGTTGAAAAATCAGCTAATTTCCTACATTCCATTACATTATTACTTACGGATAATATGCATCTCCTGCTGATACATAAAAAAAACGTGTCATCTCATTTTTTTTTTTCCCTAAGTGGTGGGGTCCACAAGACTTTTGTATCAGCAACATAAAAAAAATAAGATACTTAAATATAACCCCGTTACTTAGTGGATTTAATATTTTGACGGTGAAGGTAAATAACTTATTTATATTCACTTCTAAAACAATAAATTATAATTACAAAAATATCTTGATTTTCATTCCAAAACAATATCATTTTTGGTTCAATATAGATAACTTATCTATAGTTATTAGCCTAAACTGTCTAGTTTGTCTTTTTCACTTACTATTCGGAGGTTAAATATTGTCTCGCAAACTACGGAAATATGTTTAGTACTACGGGAGTACCGAAGACTCAATGTATTATTTACTCAATTTAGAAATAACAATATTTTTTTTTTATCATTTTAACCTTTCTTGTACGATTATTTTATCTTAAACCATTACGATGTGCTCGCAAACTACCCTTTTCGCCTATCTTGAATACCCGAGAAAACGGAGTTTATACTTAGGATAACATTATTTGAAAAATACTGAAGAATGCAAAATTAAAAAGAAAAAAAGAATAGTTATAAAAAGGTAAAACAACTTGAGGACAAGAAAAACTAAAAGAGGGGAAGAAAATCCAGTAATATTATATATAGGGAGGTACAGACACGGCAACAATTTTGCATGATGTCAATCTTACAAATTTGAATAGAGTCTTCTATGGTAGGATTCCATATTACACGAGCTTCTTTTTGTTCAGTATTAAACTTGTTGACAAATTAAGTAAAGAGGGTAGCTAGTTTAGGATTTCACAGCAATAGAATCTTCTTGCTTTGTAGGAACAGGAAGGTGGCCTTTCTCCTGCAGGCTCTTAACGGTTTCATACAGAGACTGACTCACTGGAGTGAATTCCAATCCCAAATCTCTCAGCTTTTGATTTGAAAAGGTGTATGGTTTTGCTCTTGGATTCTTTTCATCTGAACACCTGCACGTGTAGAATATTAACTTCAAGTCTGAAAGTGAAATGCATTCTCAACTTCAAAACAAGTTATTTCATTGAAACTGAAAGCAACATTTCTTAAGGCATGGGCTAGCTATTTATTTGCTTTGGATGATTAACATCTATTTTAAGTTAACCTAGAGCAATTCATTTAAAATATAAAATAAAAAATAAAAACTTGGAGCAACCCTGTTCCTACCAACTTCTCATAAAAAAATGCACAAATATATGATGTGTTACTGAACAAATCACCAAAGCCGGTTACGTTACCCATTCTAGCCTACAAAATCTTACATCTAAAATTATGTTGATATGAAGTATTCAGCGGGCCCATATTTTAATGGGAGTGGTAGGTAAAAGACCAGAGCTATCATGGGTCAGAGTCTGACAGGGACATTGAGTTTGGTAAGGACTCGTAAGCTCCACTTGATTGTTCCAATAAAAAAAGAAAGCCATTGAAAAGTTCTTAGGCTAGGATAATTTCACTGTCCATCCTTTGGGTGGGCGATTGATCACATAAATACAAGTCAAAGTTGGTACACCTACTGCCGGCACCTTTCTATATCCCATTCACAACCATCTCCAAAATATTTCATATTTTCACTCTATATCTCAAATCAAGAAAATATAACCTTTAATCAAAATTATGTTCATGTATGGGTTATCACTTATCAGTAGAAGACTACCTCAAAGAGTGAGACCACCATGGTATTAACATATCATTGGGTTTTGAACTTGAGTAAAAACCATAACACAATTGTGATCTTTTTTTTTAAACCCAATTCTAATTTACTCTTTAGTAAATAATGAAAGAGTTTCAGATTTTGCAATATACGCAAATTTGGAAGTCAAGGTATGGCATGGGATTTTAAATTCTACCTAAAATTGGCAACACGAAAGCCTGAGATCATACAGTCCCAAACCCCAGCATCAGGAGATTCAGGACCAACAAATCAATAAATATGTCATTTTCCAACAACCCTATTGGGATAGGAAAATTGCAAAATGTAAAAAGCTGTAGGTTGCTTCACTGGCTAGTCTCTATTGATTTCGGTTAACAAGTTCATTCAAAGAGACAAACGGAGAAAAATTCGGAACATGGACCAAAGTGTCACTTTTTGGCAAATTTTTTCCTCAAACGCCACGCGAACAATAACTTTTATCAGATTGTCACGCGTCGAAGTTCGTTACGCCTGGTAACGAACTTCGTCGCTTATGATTTCGTTACACGTGGCCATATTGCATACCAAATTCGCTACCACTGGTAGCGAACTTAGTCCGGTCAGCTTTTTTCTGCGAAAGTGGACCACGTGTCACAAAATCATTGACGAACGAAGTTTGCTACCAGTTGTAGCGAATTACGTGTCGTGCGACAGTCTGCTGTTCGGCGTGACATTTAGATAAAAAATTCGCCAAAAAGCGGCACTTTGGTCAGTGTTTCCTACACAATGTGATCATGATGTACCGAAAACAGAATAAAAACAATAATCTCTCTGGCAGGTACCATGTCTGACCGCAAAAAATCTTACCCAACAATTCTGATGTTGTGGTCCTTTCAGCAAGCAACCACCCCCATTCCCCCAATAAAATGTGTCTGGTTTTAACTGCTCATTAATCATTAAAACAATCATAGTACCAACAAAAGAGAGTGACTTACTTGGTAGGAATTGGGTACTCGGGGAAATACTTGGCCAGAATTTCAACTAGCTCTCCACGGTGCAACGAACTTTCGGCACACAAGTATCGACCAGAAGCAGAAGGCTTCTCATAAACTAGAATGTGGGCTAATGCAACATCCCTAACATCCACATAAGCCTGCGTAGCATTTGTATAGGTCTTAGCAGAACCAGTGAGGTACTTGAGAATGTGAATTGTGCTAGCATTCATGGCTAGTTGTAGTAATGGCCCAAGAACCAAAACGGGGTTCACTACAACCAAGTCCACCCCTTTCTCTTTTGCTACATCCCATGCGGCTTGTTCAGCCACAGCCTTCCCATAGCAATACCAGTTCTGCAAAATCAAAGCCACTAATATTAATTCTCATTCAATTTTGTTGAAACATTAATTTTAATTGACATTATTATTATTATTATTAGTATTAATTATAAGGTAAGGAACCTTGGTGTTCTTGCAAAATTCTAAATCACTCCAACAAGACTCATCAACCACCACATCCATACTCCTAGTTGGGTCCATATAGACAGCCCCAATTGATGAAGTGAAGACCACACGTCGCACTTTTGCTTCTGCAGCTGCTATTATTACATTCTTTGCTCCATTCACTGCTGGCTCCACCATTTCCTCCTGTGTCATCGAAACCATTCATCTCTCACTCAACATTTTCGGTATAATATCAAGGGTCTATAATTCGTGTTACTAGATAAAGGAATTCTTATGCCATAGTGACAAAAAGACATATCAGCACGGAAATAGAAGAATGTATAGAAATTTTTTTTTGGAAAATTGTAAAACCTTAATATCAAATTTGCAAAAAATCATTTACTAATAAAAAAAGGATTTGCATTTATTATTTAACATGACACAACAAATTTTCCTACACACATAACATTTTGTGGGATCCACACTTTTTGAAGAAAAAAAAAAAAAAAAAAGAAATTACGGCACGCAAAACGAATCTCTGTAACATTACAGAGTCACTTTTCCTACAACATAACTCTTATAAAACCCATAAAAAAATCACAAGTGTTTTTCGTGTATTGGTGGGCCAGGTCGGCGTGTATGTCACAACAATCATGCATGATACAGCACATACATACTTTTATTTTATTTAAAAAAAAAAAAAGACAACAAAGTTTGGTGGTAGGGTCCACTAGCCGTCCAATGATGACGCTGTCGAAAAGATAAAAAAATTAAGAATGAAAGAAAAAAAAATGAAAAAAAGAAAAAGAAAAAACTCACAGGGTTATCAGTGACAGGAGAAGCGGTGTGAAAGACACCATGGCAGCCATGAATGGCTGATTGAACAGAGTGAAGATCAAGAAGATCAACCTTATGCAGTGTTAGCCTCTCCGCAGCTCCTTCCAATTCTTTCAAGTGCCCATTCTTAGGATCATCTGAAAAATTGGTAGAGAAATATAAAAAAACATTAATATAACATTTCTTAATAAATTAAATTTTTGAGTTAGAAATAATTTTTTACATTCATGCATGCTTATATATATAATACAGCATAGCATAGCATAGGACAGAAGAGAAGAAGAAGAGAGAGCATGCCTGGGTTTCTGAGGGTTCCTCTGACAGTGTAACCTTTGTCCAAGAGGAGTTTGACCATCCAAGAGGCGATGAAACCACCGGCGCCGGTGACACATATGGTTTGGCCGGAACCTGATGAAGATTCAGCAGTTGGCATATTACTTGTTCTAAACAAGAAAAAAAAAAGGGAGGGGGGGTTGAGGTTGTTGAGTTGTGAGTGGTGACAGTGGCGAATGAGAATGAGAATGGTAATTGACTTTTATAGTGAAAATGGATGCCCACCACATTCACCCAACGGGTTTTGTATCTATAATTTAACATGACCACAACAACTTTCCTACACACACAACATTTTGTGGGACCCACAATTTTTGAAAAAAAAAAACTCTGGCACGCAAAACGAATCTCTATAACATAACACAATCACTTTTCCTACAACATAACTCTTATTAAACCCTTCACCTAACACATAATAATAAGCATCCTCTATCCTTTGTCTATATGCAATCGCTAATTATTAAACCACACCGCACTAAAAATCCAATTTTACTTTAATAATTAAATTTTTGGGGTTATTCATATGGGAAACAAGTTTATTTAGGTGAAAATATATTATCTGATGTGAAAAAAATATATGATATAATTATATGAAAAAATCACAATGAATCAATGGTTATAACCTCCAAAGAATCCGAATCCTATTTAAAGTTGAGAGACAAATAAATAAGGCCTACTCATTTTCTTATATAAAAAAGGAAAAAACTAATATTATGTAACATGATGTAAAGTTTTTTATTCACTCACCCATTGGTTTTTGCATCATCATTTTTTATTTTTTATTTTTATTATATATATGGGATCCACGTACATTTTTGTTTGAGTAGGAAAATATTTTAAGATTATGTTACATGATATTAGTTTTATGCATAAAAAAAAGCACATTTTTAGTATGAGAGAGAAAGTAATCTAGTGTAATATGAAAATGTATTTTCCTTAATTTTTAAAGTAGAACAAATTTTAGATAAAAAAATAAGTTCATAATAATACATATTTTTTATTTTTTAACTTAAAAAATCGTACTTCTGGAAAAAATAATAATTTTTTCTCTCTTTATTTTTCTAATTTTATTATTTACCAAATAATGCATGATACAAATATTATAATAAAATAAACCACCTAAACCCGCCACTTCCACTTAAAATATATTAATCAAATCATCAGATTTCACCTTAAATTAAAATTATCAAAAATTTCTATTAAATTTTTAGATTATGTACAATTCAAGTCATTTTTTATTTGGAATTGGTAATAAACTCCTAGAGTAAAAATCAAATTTGAACAAAAGTTATTAAGAGACAGACATAATTCGGAAATCTCGAATTACCTTGCAATTAAGCCCTTTTATTTAATTGTGCTAAATTTGGTCATATTATATTTTGCTTTATATTCTCCTATTTCATCTACCGCACGTTATGGACAAACATATATAGTTTCCAAATTATTTTTGGCAAAATGGTACAAGGAATAGGATACCGGATACGGCTTTAGTGCCACGTTTTATTTGGAAGTTTCGTTTGATTTGTTATCTTGGAAAGACAAAGTGCACCTTCCCTATCCTTGGGGTTGGTGAGTGAAGAGACATTCAAATTGATGCATCCATAACTTAGAAGCCCAAAATTATCAGTTATACCAAGCACACGCAAGAGGGAAAGTACGATTTTCTTTGATTTTGTTGTTAGAATTAGAACCAGAAAAGTTGGCGAATAATGTAATTTCAAGACCTTTCGAGTTTTGACTCTATTTTAAGTCTTCAACCACCGTGGCCGAGTATTCGTTACCTCAATGAATTTTTACGTGACATGAAATTATATACAAAAAAAAAAAAAAACTTGATCCCTCGAATACAAATATATAATAAGAGAAAAATGTTTATCCTTTTAAATGACATAACTTATATCTTTTCACTCTCACAAAAAGGTGGAATCCATATCTTTATTTTTTTTGTCAACTCTCCTTCCTCCTTTATTTATTTCTTTCTCTATCTTAAAATGACACAACTTTACATTCTTTAAAATGACACACACTTTTTTCATATAATAATAAGAGAATGTATATTAGATAAGGATGAGAATAGAAAAATGTTTGTCATTTTAAATGACAAACTTGTTGAGATATATAGTCTCACATTGGTTGTATGTGCAACTAATGTGGAGTTTATAAGGCCTTGGGCACTCCCACCCTTAGAGCTAGCTTTTGGGGTGATGTATCCCAAGGTTCTTTACATGGTATCAGAGCCTCGCCGCCCCCCACTTTCTCTGGTGGCGTTTCTTAGCACAGGTAGGCTGGGCCTGTTGCATTGTCCACTCTTCAAGCTCAATGGGCTCTTGTGTGAGTGGACGTGTTGAGATATATAGTCTCACATTGGTTGTATGTGCAACTAATGTGAAGTTTATAAAGCCTTGGGCACTCCCACCCTTTGAGCTAGCTTTTGGGTGGTGTATCTCAAGTTTCTTTACTTGTGTCATTTCACTCTCACAAAGAAGTGTGACCCACATCTTTATTTTTTTTGTTCACTCTCTCCATCATGATTTATTTATTTTTCTCACTTAAAATAACACAACTTTATATCTTTTAAAATGACACACATTTTTCTCTTAATTTATTTGGCTAATGGAATCGCCAATAATGTAAGAAGTGTCCTATTTAAATAATGGTAAATATTAATTTTTATTCATCAATAAGATTTTTTTCCTAAAATTTAAAAAGTTAAAGGTAGTTTTTTTTTTATCTTTTTTATTTTAAAAACTAAACAAGAAAGATTAACAATCAAATAGTTATATAATTATTTAGATTGTATCTTTTAACAAAAAATAAATAATAATAAAATTCACGGGTAAACTCTACACGGAAATCAAACGTCAGGTTGTACATTGATACAAAATATACGGAAGTGGTACAGAAATGGAAAGAAATCATAAGAAATTATAAAAAAAAAAAGAAGGAAAGGGAAGAATATGTGAGGTCAAGCACTAAATTTCCTTCTACTTGTTTAGATTTTTAAAATACTTTAAAAATCCTCCAAATTAGGAGAAGTTTAAAATGTTCATATCAATTAACGAGGATTTTGGGGGATCTCATAATAATCACTGAATTTCTCCCCTAGTTTTAACAATAATAGGATTTACTTGTTATAACACCCCTACTTCCCAACAGAGTCTTGCTCCCCATTAGTTTTAGGTGGATCATTAATGGATTTATGAGCCAAATCAGGCTCTCAAGGGCCCAAGTATCCACAGATTTGCTAGCTGATTTTACAGATTTAGATTTCCAGATGCTCTCTAAATTTCGGAAATGGATTTTTTTATGTGAAAAAAAAATATGATATGGTTATATAAAAAGATTATAACTATACAAAAATAAATTAACGATTATGATTTTATAATTATCTATTTTAATATATATATTTTTCTCTTCTTTTATTACTATTAATCCACTTTTATATTATTATAATGGAAAATATTTTTCTCATTTAGTTAGAGATAACTATCTCCTGTTATACACTCATCGAATTTCGTGTCAACTTTTTTTTTTTTTTTTGTTTTAAATTGTGAACCCCATATATTTATCTCACATATTTATCTTACATACATGAGAGAACTATCTCAAGCAACATAAGATTAGTAACTCCATGTTATAATTCCTCACATAGTGATAGTATCATATTTTTTTTTCATTGGTTACAGATATCTCACTCTCTCATCCATAAGTAGATATCATTAAAGATACCAGGAAAATACTTACTGAACCCAAATGTTTTGTCTGCCATGAAGACTAAGCTGGACTGAGAATTGACACTTGCACCCTTAGCAGGCTTTTTTTTTTTGGGAAACATACCCTCAGCTGACTTTCACTCTGACTTTTCATTGCTTTGTTTTGTGCCCTGCACATTATGAATAATTGAGGACACCAATGAAGTAATCATATAAGATAAGATGATGGCCATGTTATTGATAAGCAAATATATATTTTTCTATTATATATATATATATGATTTCCGCTGCTGCTGTACCTACAGCAAGCAAGGATACACGTCCGAATCTTAGGATACGGCAACGGATTCTGAGTTTTTTTTTTAAAAAAGCCGTGGGACCCACTTTTCTGTGTCAGCTGTAAATAACACTATCTACGGCTGCTGCAGAAATGTTAAGCCCTATATATATATATATATATATATATATATATAATGAATTTTATTTTTCTTATATTACATAAGATAAATCTTCTCTTATGCTCTACAATAAATAATAAGATCCACATTATTTTTTAAAAAATCGAAGTGAGAAAAAAATAAAATACGAACCGGGAAATTTCCCCTCTGTTGAGGTGTCTAAGTTGTGTCTCTATTTTTGAGGGCTCACATCACATGCAGCACCCAAATAAAGGGATACATCTTGATACTTGTTCTTGCACAAGTTAAACATAATGGGCAACCAGACCCAATATCGATAAAATAATTAGAATTGCCTATTATGACAATGGGCTCAATGTTAGCACTCATTAAAAATATCACTAGACCAAAATTCATTACAGCCACCGCAAATAGCTCAGGAAGAATCAACTGAGTTATTGCATTTCATAGAAAAAAACTTTGTCAAGAAGCATTAAAGCTTATCAAGTGAAACATTGGTAACAGAAATAAATGAATTACACAATACTGCTTTTGAAGTACTTGCATTGGATATTGTCCGGCCACCAGACCTTGATCTTGCAGCCAACCAATGGGTAATTATAATTGTGGCTTTCAAATTCCTACAGAAAAAAAAGAACAAATATAATATTTATTAACAAAAATAAATAATAGGCTACAAATTTATAGAAAAAAATATTAAACGAAGAGAGAAGTTTCACTAGACAAATCGAAACTGCAATGTCAATTTTTATTAACTTTGACTTTTGACCATTATTTCTTAGCAATAAAATGATACTCTCTTAAGGGCAAAAAATTGTGACACTGAACAATGGCTAAACACACACATAAATGGATAGAAAGAGTGTGGGAGAGAGAGTATACCATTAGATACAAACTTTTTATCTAAAAAATAAAATGCAGTAATATGAAGGCAACAATATGGCCATCAATCTTCCAAGACATCAATTGATTAGAACAATTAGCACATAAATTTGAAGATTATCACCTGGTAAGGACCTTACTTGAT